AAACTGCACTAAATGTACCTCTGTAGTGTACATGGATATTTGTACAGTGGATAGTATATATTTATTCATGAATTTAACATATTTTATCATAATTTTATATTGCCTGGAAGTTGGGTTATTGACCCATTTCCCACGAGTTAAGATATTCTATTGACATCCAGGATGGGAGATATTGGCCCATGTAAAATTATGATAAATGACGATAAATGTATAGAAACAGAACAAGATACCTGCAAGGGCAAGGGAATGATTCTGTGTAAAGTTATTAAGAGGAGAAGAAGGAGGTAGTCCCCCACATCAGTATCTATCTATATACTTACCAAATCCATATATCGCACCCATTAAATGGTGCATTCGGGTCAGGAGAGTGTCTCTTTGCATATTTCAGTAGTGATGTGTGAGGCTCCAAGGCCTGGGGGAAATGGTATTAGAGAAAGAGCTGAAAATGTGCAAAAAACACAAAAATAATCAAAATAGGTATCTCAGACTTGTTCAAAATTTACCAAACTTCGTATATGAGGACCTATTAACATTCTAAAGAGATTGCAAAAGACTGCATGAGATTCCAAGCAGTGGGTGGAAAGATATGCAAAAGGGTATCAGAATGACAGCAATAGCATCAACTTCCTCTTTCAACTTTGTGTTGCATCTGGTGCTTTGGGAGTTCATTTCGCATATCTTTCCACCCACTGCTTGGAATCTCATGCAGTCTTTTGCAATCTCTTTAGAATGTTAATAGGTCCTCATATACGAAGTTTGGTAAATTTTGAACAAGTCTGAGGTACCTATTTTGATTATTTTTGTGTTTTTTGCACATTTTCAGCTCTTTCTCTAATACCATTTCCCCCAGGCCTTGGAGCCTCACACATCACTACTGAAATATGCAAAGAGACACTCTCCTGACCCGAACGCACCATTTAATGGGTGCGATATATGGATTTGGTAAGTATATAGATAGATACTGATGTGGGGGACTACCTCCTTCTTCTCCTCTTAATAACTTTACACAGAATCATTCCCTTGCCCTTGCAGGTATCTTGTTATGTTTCTATACATTTATCGTCATTTATCATAATTTTACATGGGCCAATATCTCCCATCCTGGATGTCAATAGAATATCTTAACTCGTGGGAAATGGGTCAATAACCCAACTTCCAGGCAATATAAAATTATGATAAAATATGTTAAATTCATGAATAAATATATACTATCCACATACCAACTTTCATACTTTCAGAGGTATGTTTAGTGGGGTATCCAGAGTAGGTCTCCTGGTGTACCTATACCCCCCCTCAGATATACTACACCCAGACACCCCCTGGCATTATGCATGCTTCCATTACTCTCAGGCATGTATTTCATCATTTTTGGCCCAGTTAGATGGCCCTAAAAATGCCCCAGGATGCATGGGTGCACCATGCATTATAGTAGCCAAAATCACATTTGTCATATCTCAACGAGTTCTCACCTGTTTCACGTGATAAGATGGTCTACAGGAAGGTATCAATGTACCCAACATTTTGCTCAGCCAAAGCTAAGCGAAGTAATGCAAGGGGGAGCCGGAATTATGCACGGATGTGCAGGCATCAAAATATTGCCAAATTTGGCAAAGCACATCAAACCCCACCATGCACACTATTCCTGGCTGTGTGGCACACCCCATAATTAATAATAAATGCTCAAAATATTTGTGAAGCACCCCCCACTATAGATACAAAGTCACTAAAGTTTCATGCTGAAATATTAAGTTTTCAATTTGATATTCAATTGGTTTGTATTAAAAATGCAAAAGTCTCTGGATTTTTTGTGTTTTTGGCCCCCCCAGCTCATCCCACACCCTGTGGGGGCCATGAAAATTATTAGCATGCATATCTAGCCCCACCCAACCCATTTTTAGGCCCCTGCCATCCCACTAGCCCCTATCATGCATCCCCCACCATCCCTGCCTGTTTCAGATGGATTTCCCATGCCTTTCCCACCCCTCCTGCCCCCCACAGGCCCACCCCCAGGAGGGTTGTTTGGTCATTTATTTACCCCCTCCCACCCCCAAACAAATCCCTATGGCCCCAGCATCCCCAGCAAACTCACCCCAGGAGCCTCAGAAAGCTTGACTGCTTTATCACAGGCTGGACTTATGAGATCACACTGTTTAAACACAGGGTTTGATATAGAATTTTAGCTGACATGGCTGCCTACTCTGCCTTTCCCCTTCAGTGACACACACCCCTTCAATCTCCCAAGTCTTACACACAGATATTATATCTATGAGCATAGCTTCAAATGGCTGTAAGCATATAGTCCATGGCCACAATAACATGACACAGTGGATGGAAGCTAGAGCAATCCAAAAAACAGATGCTTGCGCTGTTGCAATATGGCTATATGAAGACATCATTTGTAGATGGGGCTGCCTAACAGAAATTGTAACCAATAATGGAGGTGAGTTTACTGTGGCAAGCAGGTGGATCACCGACAAGTATGGAATACCCACAATCTATATTTCACCCTACAATTCTGGCGCTAACAGAAATATAGAAAAACCTCACTGGGATGTGAGGCAAATGCTCTATAAGGCAACAGGAAAAGAAAACGTACACTTGTGATACTATTTCTTACATGTGGTAATGTGGGCGGACAGGGTTACCATTAGAAGGACAAAAGGTTGTTCTCCTTACTTTATGGTCACTGGTGTGCACCCAGTCCTACCTTTAGATGTAGCCAAAGCTACTTGGTTAGTCAAACCACCTGAAGGCATCCTTACAGAGGCTGAGCTCATAGGCATGTGTGCTCGCACATTAGTGAAATATAAGACCCATGTGGACAAGATGCAAGAGAGAATTGACAAAGAGAAGTTCAAACAATTAACGCGATATGAGTGGGATCACAAAGCAGTGATCAAAGACTACAAATTTCAAGCTGGGAGACCTCATTCTAATGAGAAATACAAGCACCAAGGAGTCAAAGGATACAAAAATGGATCCACGATATCTGGGTCCTATGGTAGTAGTCAAATGAACTGTAGGAGGAAGCTACATTCTGGCCAAACTGACTGGAGCAGTGTTCCAATCCAAAGTGGCTGCTTTCTGCATTGTTCTTTACTATGCTCAAGAGCACCTGCCTATGGCAAAGAAGCTCCAAGACATTATAGACTTGACTCTGGAAGCACTTAAAAAGCTCAAGGAGACCAAGCCACTAATAAAGCCAGTAAGGCATGTCAATGAGTATTGGTTTAAGGGCCAAAGACTCAAAGCGAGCGAGAGCGACTCCAGTGACGAGTCTCAAATAGATGAGGTTGACTCAGACTTCTCAGACCGGGGACAACTTGGAGATGATGAAGACAACTGATTGGATTTAAGCGGCAACGAAGTAAAGTAGTACTCTATGAACTGAGGCCTACTACAATGTCCATCCAAGAAGAAAAATGTAACCAAAAATATGGGGCAATGAAAGAGGACTGTTTCTGCGGTAAGGTAGAACTGCCTACTTTGAGGAGCTAGCCTTGGCCTTCAAGAGAATAATGCGCTTCTTGAAAAGAGCCACCTCTTGAGCGGCATGGGCACATTGGTGGAGAACATAGGCAAGCTGGTAATCCAAATTGCCTAGCTCAGTCTTGAGCAAAGCAAGGTTCTTCTGAGCCATGAGCAAAGTCAACCCAATTTTGGTAGTGCGGTCGACAATGGCTTCAGCAGCTATAACATTGTTGTTAGCAGTATCCGTGATAATGATGACATCTATAAAAAGTCACCAAGTTAACCAATTGCAAAAAGAGACAAGAGATTTTAAAACATACTGTCAGTAGAACTGAGGGTCAGGTGTTCAGTCTTCACCTTCTTATTAATAACACTGACTGCCTTAAAATAAGCGCGATGAAAAGTCATGCCAGGCATGTCAGCATAAGAAATCAGGATAGCGGTTGAGAGAAATGATAAAAACAAGGAGAAAACACGATAACGCACCTTTATCCTCTTAGGTTGTTTCACCCTGATAACAGGTTCAGGAGATGCCTCCTTGAACTTAACGGACAGAAGTTTGACAGTGGCGATGACATTGTCAGTGTCCACCTCCATCTAAGGTCAAGAGCTAAGCTGAGGCTACCATGATAAATAGAGACAAAAATGGAGTGCATCTGTTCTTGACTAACAGTAACAATGCTGGGATTGCTAGTGGTAGCACCAAGGATTTCCTCATTGGCATCTGTGTCAGAACCAATGGTGGCTTTCAATAAGTAAATGCAGCCAGCATGCTTGGAGATCTGTTAAGAAGGGTCAGACAAGAAAAGGAAAATGCAGGTGGACTCACACTGAGCTTATGGGGAGCAGTACCCCAGCATCTCTCTTTCAAGTCATGAGTATAGTGGCTTAGGATGTCAAAGATGGCAGGGTACAGGCGACCAGGAAATTTGGTATGAAGAGTCTGGAAATGACACCTGATGCCAAAGAGAACATTGGGCACCATCCCAGTATTGGGCACTAGTACTGACCACTAATTATCATAAGATACAGGTACTTGCCTGCTGTCACGACCCGTCTCCGGCTCCTGGCACAATTATCTGGCTCCTGAGGCTTGTGGTAATGAGCCATGCTCTTCCGGGACACTTCCGAGACATCTGGGAATGAGCCGTGTGCTTCCAAGGCACTTCTGAGGCGAGCCATGTTTCCGGCTCACTCCATTGTGTCTCCCAGCCATTGTCCCATTGTCCTTCATTGTTCTTCTTGTCCTGGCTAAGTTATCTATTACATAATCATGGTCCATTATTCTACATAGCATAAATACCCATGTACAGTAGTAGATTCCTCAGTCAGAATATTGAACTCGACATACCCCCTTTGCTCTAGTTCACTGCTGGAATCTGGCTCCTCCCTGTTCATCCAAAATCGGAGACACCCAGATGTTGTGTGGTGGCGCAGCTGCCCTTTCCATCAAGCTGAAGCCAAGTCCCCACCCCATCCAGCACGGTTGTTACACCTGCACTGCTTTTTTTTCTTTTCAACAATTTATATAGTGGTGCTTGATGGCAGCCCACTCACTATCTACAGAACACGTATGCTATGCGACCTGGTTACTAAGTTAAGTACTAAAACACATCTGCCCCCCCAACCAAGACCCTTCTGGTGTATACATTGAAACTTCCCAGAGGGCAACCCACCTCACGAAAGCGGTGCATCAGGATAAGGGGAGGAGGCCATCAAGGTCTCGCTATGCCCCATAGTCATCAGATGCTGTTTGGGGGCCACGCAGTGCAAATGAGATAAGAACAGCACCACCCAGGAGGTGGCATGGTGTCTTGAGGCCAACAAGCCAAAGATGCGCCTGCCTGAAACCAGACGCAGAAAGTTAGCGGTGCTGCGATCAACCAAAAAGGTCAACCGCCTGCACTAAAGAGTTGTTGCAGGCGCAGGTCTTCGAACCCTAGAGCTCGGTGGTGTCAATTCACCATAAATCCCCCAAAGGGAGGAACAACCCCACCCACAGCGATTATCTGACCCCCAAAGGGTCCCGGTTGAAGCCAAACTCTGTAGGGCTGTACTTCATAAACGATGCAATATCCCTGAGAAAATGGGGATAGTGTACAGAATATCTATCGTGACAGTGAAAGAGGATGTGCTGGCAAGACTGCAAAGCAGCCCCACATTGCCCTATCTGCTAGGACTGTTTCCAGCACCGGCAATAACAAGCCAAGCTTTGGGCAATCGAGTTCTATGGGCAAACCTATCCACAGCTGTGGGGAGTAAGACCCTGCAGGGGAAGATCATATCGCCATCTAAGGCTCCAGATCTTATTGGTCAAATACCTATCCACAGCCACAGGGAGTGCTGCACCCTGTGGGGGAAGATCAATATCACCATCTAAGGTTCCAGATCTTATTGGTATGGGCCCGGTCATCAAACCTGAGCATCTCTGAGGGCGGTGCCTCCCCCCCATATCACAGCATAGTCACTGATCATCAGGAGTAACCTCATCACAGCGAACAGTGAGAAGACTTAACCAATCAGTAAGCCTGCAATTCATCGATCTCGGAGATACCTGCCATGCTGATAAGGCCCAAAAGCCCCTTGTACACAGTCATGAGCGTTTGGTCCTCGCACTGCTAGGGAATTGAACCCCAGACCTCTCGGGTAGAGCACAGCCACCCTTAGACCCAACAACAAGACTGTTAGGCCATGTTGCGGTCCTTGCCTGCACTGCTTCTGACACAGTGCCAGGGTAATTAATGAGGAGTTTGCATTTCTCATTATTGATATAACTTCTCATTCTGAGCCATGGCTTGTAAATCTTTTCATTCTTTGGTTCACTTTTCATTACTGTGCCCCTTCTCATATCTTAAGAGTTATCATATCACACAGTGTACTTCTCATTTCTCAACACATTTTTCATTCCCACACTTCTTATTGCAGCACATTTTTCATTCTTGCAGACTTCTCATATCATGGTGCATTTTTCATTCTCATCCACACTTCTCATTGCCCTGCTGTAACGACCGTGCCGGATGGGGTGGGGACTTGGCTTCAGCTTGACGGAAAGGGCAGCTGTGCCACCACGCAATGTCTGGGTGCTGCGACTTCCGGCAGTGAACTAGAGCAAAGGGGGTATGTCGAGTTCGATATTCCAACTGAGGAATCTACTACTGTACATGGGTATTTATGCTATGTAGGATAATGGACCATGATTATGTAATAGATAACTTAGCCAGGACAAGAAGAACAATGAAGGACAATGGAACTTAGCCGGGACAAGAAGAACAATGAAGGACAATGGAACAATGGCTGGGAGACACAATGGAGTGAGCCGGAAACATGGCTCGCCTTGGAAGTGCCTCGGAAGCGCACGGCTCATTCCCAGATGTCTCGGAAGCGTCCTGGAAGAGCACGGCTCATTACCACAAGCCTCGGAAGCTGGATACAGCCTCGGGAGCCGGATAATTGTGCTGGGAGCCGGGGACAGGTCGTGACACCTGCACACTTCTCATCACCCACTGACCTTCTCATATCATGGTATTCTTCTCATTTCATGGTGCTGCTTCTCAGTTTGATGCATATTCCCCATTAGGAAAGCACATCACATAAGAGTTTGGCTGGCAGCATTGCTGGCGTATTTCAGCCATTTCTGGGCCGATTTTCTTGAATTTAAAAATACCATAAATTGTAGAATAATTGTAGCTTTTAGTAGATACCTCACATGTGGCAGTGTGACCATTTTGGCAGCTGCACAGCTAAATTAATGCCCTGCACCTTGAAAATGCGAAAATGCAGCCTCACTGGGCCCCCACCCATGTATCCCCTGATGGAAACAGGTGGGCATTTATAGAAAGGAATATAATTGTATTATATTGACTGAAGAATATCTGCAATACCTGCAGAAATGCTCGCATAATAGCCTAAACAATGCAATTTGCTAAAAATAGCCAAAATGTGCACCCAAATCTCTACCCATGGCAGGGACCGGACCACCAGGACACCTTGGTGGTTCGATAGGGAATACGTAAGGCTTCCCAGGAATATATTTTGTATGGCCCCACATGCATTATGCATGGCTGTACACTTCAATTACTGATTTTCAATCAAAAACACAAAAGTGCACCCCGGAATCCCTCCCTGGATGATTCAATTGCCATCACCTGTTGCTCTAACAATATATTGGTAGTACCTAGTACTATTAGCTCTTATTATCCAGTGTAATCTGCTCATTTGCCACATGGGACACAAAATTCATTACTCCTTCCCTCCTGACATCTATCAGACCAGTATTCTGACCATTATCCCACTGCTCTGGACTAATAATTATACACCTGACTCCTCTAGAGGTCTATTGCCTCTCCCACTCGCTAATGCCAAATGACAAGGAGGGCACCAATGCCTCTGGAACAGGTCCGCTTTCCCTGTTTGCAGAAATTTCCAAATTTATTGATGGGGACAATGCCATCACACTGGCATGGTCTGTACCTTTTCTATCCTCATGTTAGCACCCAGAATATGTTCACATAAAGCTATCTAGTGTGCTCAAAAAAGTCCGACCAATTTACACTAAGAAATGAATATTCTATGAACAGATTTGCCCTTGTGCCAGCCAATTTTGGGAACACAGACACTCCCCCTTGAATTCAGGTCCACCTACTCCTTCTAAAATCATAATAAAATGTGTTTTAGACAGGGAATATATGATATTTTCTAAATACTATATTCCCCCATAGGTATGGAGGATCTATCAGATAGGGTACCTTTTTTTTTTTTTTTATTTTTTTATCAACAATTTATATAGCAGTGCTCGATGGCAGCCTGCTCACTATCTACAAACATGTATGCTACATGGCCTGGTTACTAGGTTAACTACTAAAAGATGACCGCCCCCCCAACCAAGACCCTTTAGGCTCAAATGCCTAAACTCCC